ATGATATTATGAAATAATCTCATCTTTCAAAAATTCTTGCTCAACATCTAAGTTAAACTTTGAAGAAAAATGAATTAAACTGTTTTGCTCTTCATTTTATGCAGAGAAGATGAATGTATCACTTGCAGATTTTTTAAATCTGGAGAAAATTTGTGGAGAAACAGTTCTTTGTAATAAGGATGTATTTCCCCTAATACCCTTGCTTCTCAGATTGGAATTGACACTGAAATTATAAAATTACTTGAATCATTTCTAACCTTTTATATGTTTTTATGTCACTACAAACACTTAAGTATGGTCATTGCATAGTGACTCTCAGATGACATCCTTACTTTACCAATTTTCTGTTTTCCACTATGTTGTTATAGACATTTGTTCAATTTTGAGAAGATAGAAAGATTGGAAGTTAGATTTTATGAAGCCCGAAGGACTTCTGAAGGATCTTCCAAGAATTGCCCCTAATTTAGACTGAAGTCTAAGTGTCCCATTCTGTAATGCATTATTTCCTTTTCAGTGCCATCCTCAAAAGCAATTATCACTTCTCACAGTCATAATGTCTTAAAAGTTGCTGCTTAAATTAGTCCCTGGCTAAAAGCAAAGTAAAAGGTAAGAATATTGATTGAAGAGACCAACTAATTTCAGTTAGATGAATTTGGAGAGTTTTTGAGAAGCCCTGATAGATTCTAATAGACTGGACCAACGATAGGCTGGATTTGTAGGTAGGAAAATTACTACACAGAGGGCAACCACCCACTATAACTTAACACATACATGATAATAAATGTTGGAGCCAGCCACCCAAGGCAGTTTTGGCCTCAGTGGATCTGGGCTCAGTTCTTCATTGACTGTGGGCTGGAGTTTTTGATGTTCTCAGGACAACTGCTCAAAGATAGCCCCAGAGGAGCAGCCCTGCCTGCCCTGGATGCCCATGCTTCTGCCAGAAGTCTACACAAAGCTGCTGAAAAGCTGCAGCATGGCAGCATCAGGAAGGATTCTCCCTATCCTGCCCATGAGCAGAGAGCAGAGAGCCCTGTGCTGAAGAACTGAGAGCACACAGAAATTGTTGAGACTTCTGAGGTTCAACTTCCTACCTAAAGACTCCAGCAGGAGCAACAGAGACCTTCAGTCAGAATAATGTGGCTCAAGCCTCTTAGAAATCTCTAATAAGCATTCAGCTGGAGGACTCCAGGAGCTGTAGGATATGGATTTCAGGTCCTTCCTTCTTTGTCTCAGAGCAGCCCCAGTTCCCTTCTGTGCTTCTCATGGTATATAGGTAGCACTGGGGTGCCAGGAAAATCACCAGTAGGGCTCTCCTTCAACACTGAATCTCAGAAAATTCAGGTGCCCAAACTAATCAGTGCTTGAGACGGGGCCCTCAGTTCTAGGAAGTGAGGAATTTGATCCATGAGTCCCATTCCCTTCTTTGGCATTTCCTCCCTTATTTATGCTAGCTAGCTCCCTGCACAGCTACTTTCAGAAACTCATTCTTCCCCACTGCACAGGTCATACCACACAGGTATCCCTCAGGCTGAAAAGATACTCACCTTCTGTGAAAGTGCAATGAAAGGTAGGTTAAAATGTGGATGCATTTTGTTATGCTGGAGAATAGTACTGAGAACCTAAACACTTTACTATCATTACATGGCATGATAAAAAGTTCTTTTGTTAAAGCCTGTGCTGGATAATCACGACCCTTACCTGAATATACAACTTGAAAGGCTCAAGTTGTATAAAGAGCTTAAAAGTAAAATAAAAAGATGTGAGAATTAAGAGAAGGAGCAGAAATGAATGAGGCATGAGGTGTAATGAAGAGTGGTGCTAAAGTATCCCTTTGGCATTAACACACCGAGGAGAACAGAAAGAAACCCTTAACCATCACCTTTTTTCTTACAGCCTGAGGAGAAGGAGTCAATAATCAATGAACCACATTGCTCCGATCGAGCCTTGGGGACTTATGAGACTCTGCAAGGAAAGAGGGGACACTGTGAGGGTCTTTCTCGAGGTCCGAGTGACTCGATGGTCACATGAAGTTCCTGTCGCGGCGCAGGGCTTGCCGAGAGCTCTGCCGCCGGCTGGAGGCAGCGCGGAGCGGGGACCGGTCCGATCTCTCGCGCTTCCCGCCGCCGCCGCCAGAGGATCCCGCAACCGCGCCGGGATGCGCCGAGGGCGGGATGGGGCTGCCGGGCGAGGAAGAGGCGGAGCGGCGCCCGACGGAGCCGCCGCGGCGGGGAAGCCACTCCGGCTCCCTCCCATCCCGCCCGGGGTTCCCGCGGAGCAGGGCCGCCGAGAGCGGGAATGCGGGGCTTGGACCTACCCTCGTCATTTCTCATCGTAAATCGCCGCTGGCGTGTTTCTCCCCCGGGTCTCTCTGCCACCTGCTATCCGGCTCACTCGTGCCGCCCACCCGGGACGTGGCCGGGGCACGGCGGCCCCAGCCGCCCCCTCCCGCTGGCGGCGAAGCGACTCCCCCGGCCCGGCCGCCGCAGCCTTCGCCCATGCTGCAGCCCCAGCTGTTCGCGCTGCTGAGCTTCCCGGCACGGTTACCGAGGCCGGGCTAAGCTTTTATTTATTCAAATTAAGTGCGCGTGTGAATACACACATTTTTCTATACGGCCAGCGCAGGGGAAAACCCTCCTTGCATGTGGGGCGCTTCCTGTCCTTGCTTTCCAAACGCGCGGGCGCTGCGAGCCGAGACGTGAGCACCGAGACCTGGGAACCCTAAATGATGTTCGCATAAGCAGCAGCTTTCAGGAAACCTTCAGGTGCCTGCGGACCGGCGCCGTGCGGCGGTGCCAAAGCCCGTGCCGCCGGTGGCAAAGCCCGTGCGGCGGTACCAAACCCAGTGCCGCCGGTGGCAAAGCCCGTGCGGCGGTGCCAAACCCCGTGCGGCGGTGCCAAAGCCCGTGCCGCCGGTGCCAAACCCAGTGCCGCCGGTGGCAAAGCCCGTGCCGCCGGGACCTTCTGGGGTCGCTGGGAGGCGGCGGCTCCCCGGTTCGCCCCGTCCCGCCTCCCGCCCGCCCCGCAGCGCCGCTGCTCCCGCAAACTTCACAGCAGAGGATCGGTGTGCTGCCTGACCGTCAGCATAGCTGTTCCTGGAAAAATCCAGGAAACCCCCGAGCATTCGCCGTCCGTTCCCTCCCTCATTTTCTCGGGGCAGCAGGCGGCCTGGCTTCCACCCGCATTTCTCTGCTGGTGACCGAAAAGAGCACAAGCTTTGTAACAAATGATTATTAGCAATTCACGGTAACTCCAATTAGACAAAGTAAACACGAAAGAACTGCTGTATAATCTAGTAAAGAGGCGTTTAGGTTGGAAATAAATAATAAAAAAAAAAAACTCAACAAAACTTGAAAGGTTGAAAGAAAAGCCCTAAAGTGAATTACTGAAAGTTAATTGCCTGACTCACGACAGGTTTTCCTTAAGCTGTGTCGTTCCTTCAAAAATTAACTTCGGGAACAGAACTCCCTATAGCCAGCTCTTCTAGGCTTCATGTCGGAGTTATTCTAAAAGCAAGATTGCATCTTCCAGCAGATTTTGTTTTTAATTAAACAATTAAAAACGACTCCCCCAGGACATGGAAGTTATGTCTAAGGGAGAAGGAAACAGAGATTTACACTCCCGAGATTTCTGATCACAGGAAAGCAGTGACTCGCTGTACCTCTGGCAATTTTTTGTTTTCAAATTAGCATTACGTAAGTGAAATTTTGTGACTCCCCATTCTGAAAACAAAGGGGAATATTCCAATTACCCTGATGCCTGGTGCAAAGCTTCCCTCTCCATGAAGAGAATTGAAGTCGCTAAAAATCACTGTGCTGTTCCTAGTGGAGTAGAAAGACAAAAGTTGTCCAAACCCTAACTATTTTTGCCCTGAATACACTTGACTGCTGTCTCATTTACGAGCTCTCACAGCAGAAAAACCTAATTTACCGCGAAGTTCACAATGTACACATAAATCCATGTAACCTGGTTTACAGAATGGTGTAGACCTTTTCTTTTCTCTGTGTATACATTTTCCTGGCATACCTTGTGCATATACATGTGTATCCATGCATTGGTACAGTGCATGCAAACTTCTGCATGCATCCACCTAGATACAGAGGCACACCGAAACACACTGCCTTGGGTTTGTCTATCTGTCCGTGCAAGCAGCCGCACCGATTACACGGATCTGCGCCTGTGTGTACATCGGGATGCCCTCGCTCCGATCACCCCGAGACCAGCACCCGACCCCTCTCCCTCCTTGTGACGAGAGCACCTCCAGCCCCGGGCGGTGGGGGGGCTTTCGGCAAGTAATTGTGGGGTTTGGGCGTGAAGGGATCCCGCAAAACATCACGGGGATCCTTCCACCGGCTACCCTGTCCGGGGCATCGGGCTGGTGATGTCGGGGAGAATTCCCGGCTGCCGAGTGACTGCGGCTGCCGGGTTTGCTGCTCCCCCTCTCTTGTGTGCGTGTGTGTGCGCCCGCTGGGGCGGGGGCAGGGTTCACTTCCCGGCTCCTCCACTTGCCGGCGAGGCGGGAACCTGTTGGGCAGGGAGCGGGGACGAGGTGCTCTCCGATGCGGGGCGGTCCCCGGCAGCGCTCCGGTGCCGCGCTGCGGGGCTGGCTGCGGGCAGGCGCTCCGGGGGGGGCAAGGTGCGCCCCTTCCCCCCGCCCCGGCCCGCCCCCCTCCCGGCCCGGCCCGGCCCGGCCCGGCCCGCCCCGCGGCTCCCGCGGCCCGGCGGGGCCCGGGCTGCTCGGCGCTGTGCACCGCCCGGGGGGCACGGCCAGCGCCAGCCCGGGCAGCGGGAGAGGCCGCGCCGCTGCTCCCGGCTGCTGGCTGCCGGCTGAGGGGACGCGCCGCAGCTCCGCGCCCGCTGAACACCTGTCAGCCCGCGGAGCCTGATTTATACCTGGCCTCTCCGCTGGGGATTTCCCCCTCGTTCCACTTCTTCTTCAGCTTTTTTTTTTTTTTTTCTTTTCCCTCTCGCCTCCCCCCTCCCTTCTCGGAGCGTTGTGGAAGAGAGTGTTTTCTTCAGGGTATTAAGCTGAGAATACAGAGGAGGAGAGGCTCAGACCTTTACCTCACTGCCTCATTCTCCCTTCCATGTGAACGTTCTGCAACGTTTCCTTCATCCTGCCGCACCTCTCACCTGGCCAGCGCTGTCCGGACCATGTCCGCTAAGCTCCTGCCGGTTTTCTTCCTCCTCTCAGTGTTCCACGCTTGGTAAGTCTGCGCTCCCCTCGCCTCCCCTCCAGCCCCTCTCCTCTCTGCTCCGGGGCTGGAGGGCTGAAGTCCCAGTTGCCGGAGTTTGCACAATATTCGGCACCCAGGAAGAACAGTGGGCTCTCCCCACCTTCTTCCGCGCCGTGCCGGGGCTCTGTTCCCAAACGCTGCTAACCCGGCTCCCATCCTGGGACCCGCCCGGCACCGGGTGCGCCCGGGGCGGTGGCACCGCCGCCGTCCCTTCCCGGCCCCGCGTGAAGCCGGAGGGCCCGCGGGGGCCCTGTCCTGAGCCGGCCCGGCAGAAAGTTTCCCCCTCGGGCGGCTGCCGGCACCCGGTGGGACGGCGGCTGGAGATGCCCGGGCTCCCCTCGCGGCCCCAGCTTCCCTCCACGCCACCCCCGGGGGATCCGCGGGCAGGGTCGGCGTGAGGGATGAGCCGCGGGGTGCGTGATCCCCTGGTCCCCGCCTCAGGGCCGGGAAGGGGGTCCGGTATCCACTCTTAGAGGCAGAGGGGCACAGCCGGCAGCGTCAGCCCCGACCTTTTGGATTTCGGTCTTTTTGGTTGTCCGGGGCTGTTGTACACCCTCACAGAATAACTCAGGCAGAGGGGTCAGCTCCGCTCCCCCTGAAGGAACCAGCACAAACCAGGCTACAGGCATGCTCAAAGGCCTTCCCCTGTCCTCCTTGGCAGCCTGCCCCACACCTGAGTGGTGTCTTATCTCCTAAATCCCCACAGGAACTAGAGGATGCTTCTTGCCAGCCTCCACAGCAGGTGTGGGACACACCTATTGCAGGAAAGAAACCCTTTCCTGACAACCTCTCAGAGTTTTCTAGACTTCCTCCCCTGCAGTTTATGCACAGTCTCTTCTCTGTCTCCTTACAGAATCAAAACTGATGAAGAGTTGGGGAAAGGCATGTAGCCTTTTTTCCTTCCTAGTTTGAGACTGGCTTGTCATCACCCTGTAGTTATTTCTCTGGATCACAGGAATATGAGAGGAATTGCCAGTCACCTGTAGGGTTACAAAAGAAAAATGCAGCCTCAAGTGCCTTGAAGGAGCACTATTGCCTTAACTATGTGGAGACAAGCAATGGAAGGGAAATAATAACTTCTTAAGGGAGAAAGCAAAAAAGCTTGAAAAATACGTGTCTAGTGTATTAGTCTGATCCACTGTGAAACCTCTTCCACCACCAATCTTAATCTAGAAGATAGGTAAGGATTTAAATGGTTTGGAGGTACTTTCTAGGAAAGAAGCTGCTAGAGTGAGGGGATCTAAAAGGTCTGACAGTGCTTTGTTAGACTCTTGTTAGTGACTTGTTTTAAAGCAGCATCTCCCTGAAACAGGAATCATGATACTGCTTGAACTCAGTTCTCATTTCCAGGTGCAGTCTGAATGCCTGTGGTAAAGTTGTGGTGGCTGCAGCAGCAGAAGACATATGAATTGTCCTTCTTTGCTATCAGCAATTCAGCACCACTGCAGAGCTTCAGCTCGGAAATATCAACCATGTATGTTTGGAGATGATACCTCCTTTGAGAATGGTTCTGTAACCATTGAGGAGTATTAAGACACAGGGCTTATCATGAATCTGATGGAAAAAAAAAATTCTCCCAAAATCCTCTTGATTTTTTCAATGTTCATTGGGTGAATTAGAAAAAGAAAAAAAAAACTCAAGTTTTTAAAAAATACAACCCAATAACAGAAAATTAGTGGTTGTCTATTCAAAATTTTGCCCTAAGTTTTCTCTGCTTTTACAGCTTAGTTATATGAGCTCACTTCAGAAAATCCCCAGGGTCTAGGTTTAAAAATTATTTTTCTATAGAAATTGTGCCTACAGCAATTGCAAATTGTGAGGTCATGTTAAGTGATTCGTGGTTAATCTTTAGGGGCATATTGGCTGTAAAGCCGTTTCAGTTTAAAGTTTCATCATGTTCTCAAATTGTGGTCTTCGAGCAATGTGAGGGTCGATGATGCTCTGTGATTAAATTTTTATATTTGTATCAGGTTTTTTTATGTTCACATAGAGTATTTATCAAGTCTTCTGGACATCTGAGGTATTTTAAAATACACTGGTGTCATTATGGAGAAAAGGAGAAGGAGAGAAAGAAAGTTGCACAGATGTGTGTAGCACATCCCATGAACAAACAAGGCTTGTTCCTCTCATTCTCCACTGCTTTGCACCTCACATAATTATTGACATTTATGTAAAAAAGTCCCAAAATGATATCATATCCCCTGGGCAATTGCAGGTTGAAATAACACATGATTCCTTACATAGGTTTCACCACTGAGGTTATCTTTTCTTCTAATAACTTCATCTTAGTCTGTCATAGATTTTCTCCAGTGAGAGGCATCAAACAGATTTGGTTTCTAAGATACCAAAAGATACATCTGATGAAGATATCGTCTTCAAATCAACATTTTAAAGTCCATGCCCAGAAAGCTGCACAAATGAAATTAGTCTTGTGTGAAAATAGCTCTTGTTGTGATTTCTGGCCAAACTGTAGTTTCATCACATTTGCATTAATATAGCCTTAAAACAAACATAATCCACCTATAAATGAATAAAGTTGCAACTCTTGGTGTAGTACTGTTTCTAAAAAAAGTTACTAAAGCTGCAGGGAAATTCAGATTAATTTATTCAATGTGTTTGTGTGCTTGTGATAATCCATCTCAAATTCAAGGAATGAGCTCTTAATTCTAAGCCTTGTAATACATTAAACTCTGAAATTCATGCACTGAGAATATAATAATTTATTAATAGGATAAAATGATCAGGAAGTATTAACAGATCTGAATTTTTAATACTCTTATTAGGCTTTGTGCAAGAGATGAATCAGTTGTCTTGATGTATTAATAAAGTAATACTGCAGATGTTCGCTCTTTGTAAAAGTATATTGTAAACTAGTCAGAATAGGTTCATTAAAATACAGGATATAAAATACTACTCTGATAGCTGTATTATCTTCTAGAGTATAAATTTTGAAGACACTTCCAGAAGACAATTTCTAAACAATTCTCAGTCATGACCCAACCACAGATACTCAACAATTGTTAATGGGAAAATCCTCTTGCACCTGTTGCATCCTGCTGCATCCTGTTGCATCCTATTTTAGTAATGTAAAATAATACCTGTTTGTTTCATTTGTTTTGCAGTTCTAGAAAGGTCGAAGACGATGAATATGAAGATGGAACAACTAACCAAAACTGGGTTTTAGCTCCAAAAACCCAAGATACAGATGTGACTCTCATACTAAACAAGCTGTTGAGAGAGTATGACAAAAAGCTGCGGCCAGATATTGGAAGTAAGTACTTCTTTCTGCACAAGTGAGGATAAGCTTCTCTGGATGCAGAGTAGATATGTTACTATATTCTGGAAGTGTGCACAAAAATCTGGGGAAGTGTAGATTAAGTTTTTTTGGCTGAAGTTGATTTCCAAGTATTTTAAAAATGCTAATTCTCACAAGGAAATCTGGTGGTAGCTTGGGGTCCTAAAATTTTGCTGGTTTTTACAGAGTTTGTGTAAGGATATGGAAGGGCTAATCCTTAAGTATTCAGCAGGTCTTTGGCAGAGGAACACACCTCTTTTGTCATCCAGTCCATGCTGAAAATCTCACACTCTGAGAAGCAAACAAAACCTCAGCATATTAAAACAGAAAGTAGGACACAGCAAGAGAAGAATGTGCACCTGTTCTCTTCAAAATATGATCCTGAAAGTTCTGTTCCTTAATGCAGAGAATAATGCACTGGGATTTGCCTGTGTATAGGGCAACTCCAGAGATGATCTTCCACAAACCAGCAGACATCTCCAAAAGAAATCTTACATAGTCAAAGTGTCTCATGGTCAGCACTACTACATATAAGTATAAAATTTAAATAAGAGCCTGTAGGTACCTGCATATTACCATCTTGGGCTACTATATTGCTTTAACTTGTATAATGAGGTTTCAAATCAACTGTGGTTTTTTGTTTGGGTTTTTGGTTTTTTTTTGTTGGTTTGTTTCTTGTTTTTTTTTGTTTTGTTTTATTTTGTTTTGTTTTTAGTTCTCCACCTATTGGAGTTATGCCCTTTTTTCTCAGTTTGCACCCCGACAGCATATTGGCTGGTAGCACAACTGCTGCTCAGTTTGTTCATAGCAAGTTTGTATGACAGCAATCAGAGAGAATTTGTCTTTTATATTTACTGTACCTTGCATGCGCTTCAGGACAAACTGAGACTGAGGAATACTCAAAATAATCACATAATATAATATATAATATATTTTATATATTTTGCTTTCCCTAGATATTTGCAGGGATTAGAGGAGCATTCCTACCACTGATTATAAGTGCAATTATTGTTTGCTAATGGCACATGTATTGATATGCTTTCTAGGTGATCCCTTTGGATTGGTTTAGAGGGAAGTAAGAGCCATCTATATGTATTCATCATTACAATTATGAGTATTTCATAGCTACACAATAATGCAACAGTTGCAGAAAAACAAAGACTATCCTGTGGTATTAAAAAGAGGGTCTGTTTAGTTCTTTTTTATAGCTATTACTTTGATTTTCCATAGTATTTACAAAGATCATATTTGATAGATGTGTCTGTTTTTATCCCAAAGTGACATTTATCTCTCTCTACTTCGTTTGTCATGCTGGATTTAGCTATCTTTAATATCTGATGAAGAGATGCTTTAACACACTTTCCCACCTTTATCAACATCTGGAAGACAGTCTCAGACAAATTTTTTGATTTATTTTGTACACTGTGTCCTCAGATCACTGACTTAAGGCAGAGCGAATTACATTATGCTTATGTGGGGCAAAGCAATCACTCCAAGTCCCCATATCAGTTGTCATAAAATCAGTAGAGGTCAGACATAACTTACAGCTCTGGGAAGTCATTGTTACCAAAATAATTCTTTTTGTGTCTCCACAACATTTTGTTTTTGAGAAAGGAGTCAAATTACACAGCTGTTCATGTATCAAACAGATCTTAGAGTTCTCAACTACATCTGTTTCTATCAAGCATCTTGGTCCTAGGCTTTTTTTTTGTCTTTGATAGCAATCTGGCTATTTCAGAACCTGTGCTGAGTGTTGTTCAAATGCTACAGAAGTCAGTTCATCTGTGCTTCCTCCCCTGGTCCCTCTTTGCACCTCTCCTACCTTTGATGCAGATAAATAACGTTGCCCTTTTGAAGTTGTGGAGCTGTCGCATTTGGCAAGGAGAACACAAGGGGAATGCTAGAGAATCAGGCATTACAGATAACTTCCCTGAATTGCTGGCTGGTATCTCACACACAAACACATTGTCCTTTCCATCTGAGAGCTGGTTATCCTCCTAACAAGGTGGTTGACATGTCCTGGCAACAGAATTGTCTTGCTGCCCTGAAGGTCTCAGTATTAATACAAATACTTTAAAGCATAATACATACCAGCTAGAGCACCAGGAAGAAAAGGTAGTGTGCCAGGTAACATAGACCATACAATAAGAAAATGCATGTTTTGGAAATTAGAGGAAGCATGGAGTGAACCCGTAGAAGAGGAGAGAAGTGATTCCCAGATTCAAGCAGAAGTTCAGCCAATACTGAGGGTTAAATCCAGGACTCATATACAGTCACCTACTCACTAGGGCCTTTGCATTAGCATGGTACTGCTGGGAAGTAAGTTGTCTGACCCACAGGGAAGGGACACTCACCATTTCATGTCACACTGCTCTTCACTCAGTTTTTCAACCATTTATTGCAAATCCACTATTTCTAGCAGTGTGTAGCTTTAGCTATTGTCCTGAGGAAATGATCTTTGTTCTGAATGCAGTCAGAAAGGCCCAGGAAATACTTTCCACTTTTTAAGGTTAGGATTGCCAGTTTCAGATCACTTGGGAAGACACTTCTGCAGCCCAAAAAGGAGGAGAGAAGGAGAAGACTGTGGTGAATAAAATATATCAAAGTGCATGCTGGCACAGGCAGTGACTTCTCCGTGGTTTTCATTCTTCTCAGGGCAACTGATATTTTGGCTAGCTCAAAATAGAGTCCTACCTGGTACAGGCATATTCTGAGTGCCCTTTTGCTGTACTATGGGCACTGGCATTGTCAGCAATCTCATCTCCTCCAGGCCAGCAGTACAGCCATCAGTGAGGGCACTGTGAACACCTAGCTACCCTCTTTCCTCCTGTCACCCAAGCATATCTAAACCACTGTAAAGAGTGTGTAGGTCACTGCTTGCATGCAAGACTAGGACTTGTTTTTTTTTTCCCCTCATCCTGGCCTATGCTTGGCCTCAGCTTGTACATAAATGGCTGTTGCTCAGATCATAGGCACAATCTACACTCAGCACATCAGGCATCACCTGCAAGGTTCCAAGCCAGGATTTTGATTGAGTGGATTGAACAAACTAAATATTAGGCAAAACAGCTAACCTGTGAAGGCTATTAGCAAAGTGATACCTTTACAGGACCTGTCTCGCTCAAAGGAGATTTTCTTTGATCTTCAGAAACAAAGCAGTGTTTTACCAGCAGGGGAATGCCTGACTGCATCCCCTGTGGCCACACATTTGGCAGATTTCTTGTCTCCATGAATATCATGGCTTTTGAGCATTTTTATTTTACTGGTGGTATCTGGAAAGTTTCTATTATACCACAAAAAATACATGCCTTTTTGAATTGGAAAAAAAAAAAGAAAAAAAGCACTTTATACTGAAGAGCTAATAACAGTGTACTGATTAGATCAAAAAGAAAAGTGTTTTATGATGTAAAGCATCTATTCACCTATTTTTTTACCAGCTACAATTATAGATCTGAGATACTCAGGTCTTTTGCGTGGTATGAAAGGCACCAATCCTAGAAAAAAACTAAACCAGTTCTGAACTATGAAAGTCTTAACATCTCTTCCACAGGCAGGTATTCTGTGTTTTGTTTCAAAGTGCTTTGAAGAAAAGACCTCTTTAATGGATATGCGTCATTTTCTACGTGCAGGTGCAGTAAGACTTGCTACCCTGCAAGTGTGCTTTTCTCCTCCTATGTCACATTGATACAAATCCTAAAATTTAGTAGAGCAGGTTCTGGCCCTGAAATTTTATTTTCTTTTTATTAATAAAATGAAACAGAAATATTAGGCAAACAGGACGCAGAACAGAATGATGATAATTAGAGCTGAAAATATTTCAGTTTAATTTAGATTCTAGAAATAAACCAGATTTTTGTAATTGATCTTTATTTTTCTTTGATTGACAGGTCTAAAATTTAAATTACAATAAAAACCCCACCACACAAAGAAACAAACAAAAACAAACAAAAGAAAACCCAACAATGAAGTGAAACACAGTTTCCTTCAAAGTCATTTTACTTTAATGAAATCTTCCCCTCTCACCTTCCTTCGTGGACAGCTTAGACCACAACAAAGTTATGGAAAAGAACAGCTACCTTCAGAACCCTACATGGTTTCAAGCTTAACTTCGTATGGAATATAATTTGCCTCAAACAGAAAATTTTTAACTAAGTGGGAAGTTTTCCAGTCACATTTCCTGAGTGACCTTATGTGTGGAAACTAATATGTAATCTTTTTCTTTAATTGTGAAAGTTACCAATCAAAAAGTTAGTATATGTGAGGTTTCTTGTGGAAGAATGGCTGTGTGACAGGGGCTACGTTCTGGACTAAGAATTGGGAGGATGCAGCTAGTCTGGGTCTCTGCACTTGTAAAACACTGTGTCTTTGAGCATGGCTGTGGTACAATAACAAGTTGTGAGAGAGACATGAGAAAAGAAAGATGTAACTTCTAAGGTATGAGGAAGAGCTGATATTGTAGTATAGCCAATAGATTGCTTAGCTTGCAGAATATGTATGAGCTTATTACTTGTTGTGCATAAAAGTCTGATGCTCTCTTCAATAAACAAAGCTTGCTAAACACTCATATTGAGCGTCCAAGTTGCCCCCACCGTGACAGTTTCTGAAATGTGCCATTAGTAGTGGGAGGGAAAAAGCCTCACCCTAGATTAGGCTTTGAATGGCAGAGTAGTAAGGCAATTTGTATTTCATGTTTACATCTTCTCTTTCTCAGATGTATCTTTACATTAGGGAAGCCTCTGAATTGCATATGTTGAAGAAAGCTTCACCAGTCTGTGTTCTGAGACATTTTCAACAAACACCAATTTTGAATTTTGCTTTTAAACCAACCTTCCTTCCTTCCTTCCTTCCTTCCTTCCTTCCTTCCTTCCTTCCTTCCTTCCTTCCTTCCTTCCTGCCTTCCTGCCTTCCTGCCTTCCTTCCTGCCTTCCTTCCTGCCTTCCTTCCTTCCTTCCTTCCTTCCTGCCTTCCTTCCTTCC